CACGTGAATGTTCAGTAGACAAACCGTAATTTCCGGAAAAAAACCCCACAGCAGTTGTCTTTTTCAGTGGCTGTGGCATTTTTGTCGATGTGGCGCTTGAGAAAAATATTTTCTAAGATATCATTGTACGTAGTTTGGATGACCTTTGTGCTGTTCCCACACAAATGACCACTCAGTTGCTTTCTGCGAATTTTATTTTGTTTACGTTTGTTCCCTTAAACACACATGTGCCTTCTTCACCCTAAACTGTAGCTTGGAACAATAACATTCTCTTTTTCAAATCAGAATTCTTATCAGTTTAAATAGCCCCTGCCTTTACCATTATAAATCCTTATCCCCTGCCTTTACCATTATAAATCCTTATCCCCTGCCTTTCCCATTATAAATCTACTGCATTTTTTTTTCTTCAAATTTGGACATGACCCCACCTGCGTTGCAATAATGAACTCTGACATATTTCCCTTCAGCAGGAGTCGATTCAACTTGCCATTCTGCCAGATACAAATCCTATCATCTCTGGTGCAAATACTTGTTGGATATTTAAGTAAGAAGGAAGTCGGAGATTCTTGAAAATGGCACAGTAGCTATACTGCTGGTTTTAAGCGTAAAGTAATTTTCCGTGCTGAACAAATTAGAAATAGAGCAGCAGCTCGAGAGTTTGATGTGGACGAGAGATGTATTCGACATTGGAGAACTGAAAAAGAAGAACTTAAAAATATGCCACAACAGGAACAAGCCAAAAGAATTGGTACTCGGAAGTGTCCAAACCTAGAGGACAACCTTGCAAACAAGATAAAAGAGCAACAAGGAAAAGGAATGGCAATTTCGACAGTAAAAATTTGCTTACAAGTAAAATTTATGGCAAATGAAACCAATGGACTGGCAGGGTAAAAAAGCACATTTTTTACAGTATGTGACAGATATTAATGGGGGGAGGGGAAAAACTTCTTCCTTTGCAGATAATAAATATGGATGAAATGCTGTTAGCTTCTGACTCTTCTGCAAACAGAATTGTTGATGAAACTTGTGCAGAAACTGTATCCGTGCTTACGACGGGGCATGAAAGAATTCCATTTACATATGTGTTAACTTGTGCCACAAATGGTGACACGCTAAAGCTGATGATCATTTTTAAAAGGAAAACTATTCTGAAAGGAGATTTTTCCCAATGACATAATTATTTGGGATGTAAGTATTATTATTTACTAATGACATAATTATTATTATTTATTACTTTCCTAATGACATAGTTGAATGACTAATGCCAGTGGGAGGATTTGCAAAACAATCATGCATACGTGGCTTCAAAAAGTTTGCCAGTGCCGTTAGGGAACTTTTTTCCAGCCAAAAGGATTGTTGATAATGGATTCAATGTGTTCTCATTTCTTTGAGTCTATGGAAACCAGATGTCAAAATCTGTCTATGATCTTAGTAATAATTCCTGGTGGCTTGACAAAAATCTTACAACCACTCGATTTGTCAGTTGTAAAATCTATCAAAGCTGAAGTCAAAAGCGGTGGGAGTGTTACATAAGTGAAGAATTGCACACGTATACAAAAAGTAGCGAAATGCATACAGCACCTTGTGAAGAAGTTGCAAGGTAGATAGGAAGCGTGTGGAAATCGGTGAAAACATCGTCAATAACAGCAGGGTTCAAAGAAGCTGGAATAATATCCTTAGAAAACACTAAATCTGTAAATCATCTTTCATTCAAATTTTATATCTTATAATGCGATATTTTTATAATGTATCATGAGTATTACAAATATGGACTTCTTTATTGGGTAAATAGTGCATTCGTGGAAGTAAGTATATTTTCAACATTTCTTATCATAATTTATTTTTGAGTTATGGTTTCATTTTATGCATTTTAACTGATATGTCATGTATCAGAGCATAGGTCCAGATTTTGAGTTTATAATTTTCACGGCATGCGCAATTTAACTGTTTGTGTCGTTTATGCTGATGTGGCATTTCTGCAGAATTTTATTTCCCCCCTCCATTTTTCTTAAGTGTAGCGTTTACACTGCAGCCTTTCCTCCAAAAATTATAGTATGTGCCCAAAAAATTTCACGCTTACCTTGCAGTTCTTTGAGTCTTTCTTCCATGGCAGAAACTTGCAAATCCAGTATCGCTCGATGCTGACTCGCGTCCTCCTGAGGGATTTTGTTTAAGAAGTCATTACACACATTCTGAATGTATTCAATAATGTCCTCCAAATTGTTTTGTGTATTTATAAAACCCACTTGTTTATTAATTTTCCTTTTTCTAATAGGAATGCGGTGGACCACACAGAGATAAGTAAACTGTATGTGCGGTCCCTGCAGTTCACTGCTCCCAGCCTTTACGAGGTGTCACATGACATGTTTTTGACATCGCCAAGACATAACTTCAGGACTAGTGTCATGAGATTTTAATGATCTGTACTGTGTCTGTCGTCAAAGCCTCTTGATTTCAGGAGGGGTAACGAGCTAATGATCTGATTTTTCCTCTATATCGTTGCAGGTATAACGAATCAGAGGATGTAAAATGCCACTGTAAAATTAAAAGATATGTGGCTAATTCAGACTGAAGATTTTCGCCATCGGAATATCATCAGAAAAATGCTCATGAACTCTTGACTAGAGACCTACAATGCTCTTGAGCTGTCAAATAGAGAGAACTTCGTTAACAGACTTCTCACACTACGAGGACTATTTTAATACCTATCAATGCTATCTATGAATTGTGTATATATATATATATATATATATATATATATATGTAGAGTTCTAGTACTAATAATAAATATGTTTGAGATTAAAATGCAGTAGGAGTACGCAACCTTACTCAATCATTATAAGAGTCAGATACGCTGCCTGAAGCCACTCAGCACAGGGTAACCTGAGAGTCATTCCCACAGTTGTGACAGAAACCCTCCAGGAACATGTGATAATGTTCCTTATTAATAATAAATTTCTCAGAGCTTAATGCATTTCAATGGGAGTATAATCAATATCACAGTCTGGAATATGAGTATCATCTTCATAATTACTCTTCAAAGCCACGTTTGACATTACATCGGGAAGTAGACAGCTTTAAAGTAAATCTCAAAGCGTAACACAATTTGAAATACTCAGCAATAATGAAGAAACACGTGGTTGTTGGAGAGCTCACACACACACGTCCTTCACCATTAACGTGTGCAGGTTGAATCCTGATGCTGACCCTATTTTCAGTCACACATGAGGTGGACTAAGTACATGCTGCATGGTGATGACTATATACATTGGAATCGCTAATAGGGAGTCTTGGCATCAGCCTTGAATTGCCCATTTTGAAAGAAGCAGACTATAAAAGAGTCATTGCGCTTCACTTACTGCATATAGGATTATAAAAATATGAAATTGCTGTCACTGCACAATTACTTTGTTAGATGTTTAAGGGCAAAATAATATGTAGGATCACTGAATATTATTGTGAGTAGTGATGTTTTTTGGGAAGAAGAGAAAAAAAAAAAAAAAAAAAGGTCTCAGCTAATTGGGAGAAAATCTGATTACTGCACTTTTGCCTTTTTGTTAAGTATCATATTCTCCATTCTTAAATTGTGTGACACAAAAAAAAATTGTTTGTATGAAATCTGTATAATAGGTCATTATGGTAATTGGATTTTAAGATTTCTAGTTTGTACTGTATTACTTTGTGAGAGGTTGATGAGAGAAGAGGGATCCGAGATCCTTACATTTCATCCCACTGGGATTGTTGGTCAAACCTGGGATGAAGCTCAAACAGATAGCACCTATGTGATTGCCTGAATCACATAATCCATTTCAATTTTGTTGTCTATGATTTGAGAAATCTATAAACCTGCTGTCAATATGGCCCATAAAAAAAGTCTTTTGATAGTAGTAATCATATTTAACATCAATAAAATACTGTAAGAATTATTTGAAGTTCTGTGCTTTTTAGAAATTTCAATAAGGGAAGACGTGAGCATTCATATTAATAATTTTTTCCCATTGTTATTTATTCAATATTGGTTTTCTTCATTTTATCATTCCCTCTATAAGTACCAACATCGTCTGCAGCTGCAGAATGACCCAGACTTATACAGTACAATTTGTGAAGGAATGTTTCTTTGCTACAACTCATTTTTTTTTTTTTTTTTTTAAATCCTTGCATATCTACAAAGCTTATTGTCAACTTTTTTTTGACAAATCCCTGTCCCTATCCCTTACAATTTTAAAGGCCTGAATTTTTGGAGAAATTTCATCTTTCCCAATCTAAATTAATGAAGTTTTAAGGAAAACAATGAATAGGAATTAAAGATCTTAAATTAATAAAAAAGAACATTTTAGTTCATAATCTGGAATGGAAATTTACATAGGTTTTATGTAATCCGTTTTTGACTAGAGCAATAATTTATTGTTCCTACATTGGATATTTGTAAAAATGGGAATTTCAGTATAGTAAAAGCCTGACTATTTGGTATTCAGCTCACCAGAAAGCTTGAGTAAGTGGAATATTTTTGAATTTTAGAGACTTTTTTTAAACATCAAATTAAGAAAAAAAAAAAAAAAAAAGATAGATAGATAGATTTGAAATTCCATTATGAAGCACGAATAGGAAGCGATGTGAGTTTGAAATGCCCTTTTTTCTTTCAAATCTCGCATAATTTAAATGTAGGCATTTGATATTTGAGTCAATACCAAATAAAATGATTCTTTTTACAGTTTTAAACTCAATTTTTTTCCCCATTTATTTGGCTTTTCTACCACAAACTGCATTTTTTTATTCGCTCAATTATCTGGAATTTTCAATTTCTCAAGCTTTTACTGTATATTGAAATTACTGGATTAAGCTATTTTTAGCGACTATATTTCACGCAGAACATCCAGTTTTTTTCTGGCATCTAGCATATCAAATTTTGCATATATTCAGTTTTGTTTATACATTTTAAATCAACGGGCCATTCTGGAGATCTGTTGCATATTAAGTTATCTTTTCTTTTTTTTTTTCAGAAACATAATGATGATAAACCAAAAACTATATCACAGTCTTTATCAGACATTCCTGTGCTGCCCAAAGTTTCTACGGAAGTAATGCGTATGGCTCGTGAAAGACATCAGAAGGGACTGATGCATCCTTACATATTTCAGATTCTAACGCAGGTATGTGTCTTATATCTGAATTAAGGGATAATTTTTTTTTCTTCCTTCATATTATTTTAATAATATATATATATGAATATTTTTGTGTTTTGTTATATATTAGTTTTAATTTTGTATGTTGTTTCATGGTACTTTTGTGTATGCTTTTATGAATATTGCTTGTGTGTCATCATGCGTTAGATGTTTAATTAATTAAATACAGTCAAAAGTCTTTAATCCGGACCTCAAAGCTACAAATTTTCTGTGTATGCGTAAAAGCATAATGCGTTTACACATGCACATATGCATTTACGCATGCCTGTTTAATGTATTTACGCATGCGCGTTTAATGTACGGTATGAGCTAAGCTAAAAGTATCTAATTATCTAATTTGCAGACTGTTAGAGCAATATTATAAAAGTAAGTTTGAACTTTCGATTATGTCAAAAAGAATTTGCGATTCTGGAGCTGCTAAAGGATCTACAAAGCGAAAGCATGTTTCTATGTCCATCAAACAAAAAGTGGAATTTGTGCAAAAATGGATAAAGGCATATCCTTTGTTTCTCTAACCATTCCGAAATCTGTTTATCAATTTCACGCTGCTTTGCGGGGGGGGGGCAGTCGCGTCGCGCAATGAACTGAAAGTTGATCTGTCAGCACTATCCTTATCTTCAGGGCAGATGCTTTTATTTTATTCGGCTTATAATTCCTTACTAAATGTAGTATTTCATCTCGATGTACTCGGTCTTTGATATGATATAAATCAAATTCCTCGTCATTATAAATATCACGAATACACATCAAATAGTTTTCTGGTTGCAATTTTCTAATTTCGACTATGCGTAATGTATGCTTTATGCATGCGCGCGTTGAAAGAAATGTTTAATAAAGTAAACAAATAAATATTAAGCTTTTTTTTTTTTTGTAAATTTTGGTACCCTTTAGATCATAATTGCTCTTTATTTCATAAATTACGATTTCATATTTTTAACTTTATAATTTCTGCATGCCATCTTACCGGATTTAAACTGATGATCTATAATCCGGAATCGCCGGAGTCCCAATGAGTCCGGATTAAAGACTTTTGACTGTATAAAAGATATAGCCTTATAATGTCACTGATATAGGTTATCAAAAAAATAATAAGGTTACAGATTAATAAGCATTTTCTAACTACAAAATTTCCATTGCTATGGGTTTTGAGCTTTGACTCGTCTCTTCTTCATTTTACTCACTGGCGGTCTTGTTTGCACAGTCCTTTCTGAATACTGCCTCTTTGCCATATCCTGCGGTTGTCTGCTGCGAGACATTGTCAGGGCACAGCCATCCTTGTTCCTAGCTGGGGCCTTTTGTCTCGACGATCGATCCTTCACCCTTAAATTTTTTTCCCACTGGACCTTCCATCCATCAAGAGGGGAGGGGTCTCTTCTGGAGACTTTTTTGGCTTGTCTGAGACCTTGATGCCTGGTCTGTTCTTTATTTCTTTGGTGTTTGAAGCATTGGTGGGGCAAAAATGGGCGTTGAGGGTGCAGCCTCTTTTTATTCGGAAGCCTGCAAGAAACTATTCAAAACATCAAAGTCCTTACATTCGTAATATTGCTTTAATTGATCAGGACTGGCCTTTATTCTTTCGCCTGAATTTGAAGTAATATAAATTACAGCACTGACAGTTTGCTGTAAGGCATAAAGCCCTTCAAATTTATGGGCGAATTACGCTACAAAGTTCTCTGGTGCACTAGACAGAGTGATTTTTTCTTTTCAGCACCTGATCCCCCAATTTAAAATCTGATTCATGGCAATCCTATCATAATACAATTTTTTCCGCCTTCTTGTTACATCCGAATTCTTCAAAGCTTAATCGGTCAGCTTTTGAATGTTTGGGTGTTTAAGTTCCAGCTCCCTTTCTTGGACAAGAAAGAGTTATCTAATGGTGTCAAGATCTTTCTACCCAGAAATAATTTAGTGAGCGTTTTCTCGATCATATCATGCTTGATAGTTCTTAAAGCATATACTATTTCATCAATACAGCCATCCCAGTGCTTATGATAATTTTTAACATAACTTCTAATTATTTTAACGATGTTTTTATTAACTATTTCTGTGATGTTTGCCTATCGTCTCTACAGGACCATTTTCACATGCCGTATGTCAAACCTTTTATACAAATTTTAAGAAATTTCATTAACAAACTGCTTACCATTATTACATATTACTTTTAAGTATTTAAAACTTTAAAATATACTTATGTAAAAATGCATCTGTGACTATTTTAGCCAATGCTCGCTTTATTGGAATTATTTCTATCCATTTAGGAAAATGATCGGCGATCACTGAAAGTTATCGGTTTTTATTTAACTCGCTTTGGGGAAAAGGGCCAAAAAAAAAAGGTCTATTCCAAGAATTTCATCAGAAAAGTCATGTGAATGCTGTTTAGATACCTGGCTGGGCTATAATTAATGCCAATAATTAACTGACATACTTTACAGGACCTGGCATATCCTGTCATTACTTTCTGTAGTTGCAGAAAATATACCACCTCACTTACCTCTAAGTGGCCAACCGTTTGTGCATCGTGCAGTTCCTGCAAAATGCTTAGCCGTAGTGTGGCTGGAATGACTGTCCTATATTTGTGGTTTTTATTCAGCGATTTGGTATAGAACAGCAAATCATCTACAGTCTCTTAACTTTGGGCCCTATTTCTAATTGCAGCAAGGTCTTCATGTTCAAAGTTATCTGGATCCTTTAGCAACTCAGAAATGATTGATTGTTTTCTGGGAATCTAAAACTTTAGAAATTAAAATAGCATATTTTATTTAATTGCCATTTTCATCCAGTTTAATTCCTGATAATGTGTCGGCCGCGGTATTGTCTTTGTCGGGAGTATGCTTAATTATTAACCGTTTGAGTCCGGCGAAGCGCTCATTTGTCATATGCCAAAAATACTGCGCAGCGCGATAGCGCTTCTCTTGGTTTGTATCGAGAATGCGAAGACGCTGCTGTTGGTTAGTATACTTTACGCAATTATTGAGAGCAGTTGTAGTGATATCAGTAGCAGTTGTTTTATAGGAATTGGAATTTGTTTTCATTTTTTTACCAATTGTTATACTGATAATTATGATATAACCCATGTCAAGTTCTGATTCATTTTAAAGTGACATCTAAGAAGTGATAATGAAGAGTATAGTAATGACCTTGAAAGTGATAGTGGAAGTGACATCATCATTCGTTCTAAGAGATTACGAGTTATTAGTGATAGCAGTGATGATGATGAAGTAACTGCAAGTACCTCCGATGACGATATTATTGATGAGTTTTTACCTGTGGATACAATTTTTTTCGAACAAATCAAATACTTTTTCTGAAGTACCTGGACCAAAGCATGCCTCTCCTCCTGATGCGAAACCAGTTGAATATTTCAATAATTTTTTTTCAATTTTCAATAATTTTTTTAAAGTATACTAACCAACAGCAGCATCTTCGCATTCTCGATACAAAACAAGAGAAGCGCTATCGTGCTGCGCCGTATTTTTGGCATACGACAAGTGAAGTGCGATAGCGCTTCGCCGGACTCAAACGGTTAAGTTGTGCTTTTTTAACTTTAAGACCCATCTAATTAATCTGGGAGTTAAATTTTTTCCCAAATATTGTCTACCTACGACCGCATACCGAATAGACAGTAACAAGTGCTTTTCCGAAATAAACCCTGAACATCTGAACTGCCATTAACAAGACTAACATTTCTCATTCGGTCACTGTATAATTCCATTGTGTAGTGTTTAATGTTTTACTAAAAAATGTCAAGGGTTGCTCTTTTTGCATTAAAACTGCACCCACGGTGTATTCTGAAGCATCATCTGCGATCTTTAATTTCTCATCCTCTTCCGGGAATTTTTACACTGGGCCATTAATTATAGCTGTTTTTAATTGTTCAAAAGCCATGTTTGCCTCCGCTGTCCGCGGAAACCTTGATTTCTTCCGTTTTAACACTAACAAGGTTTCAGCCATATATTAGCAAAATTTTGGATAGAAGAATGGTAATATGAGGACGTGCCAAGAAAATATGACAGTTTCTTTCCTGTATTTGGTGGAGGATATTTTTTTATTTTAGAATCTTCAGTCTCAATATCCTTAGCTGAAATTTTGTACCCTAAATATCGTAATTCTTTTGTTGCAGACTTACATTCTGATGCATTAACAGTTAACCCTGCTTCCTTTAATAATAAAAAACTTCATGGAGATCTTTCACATGTTCCTCAATGGTGTCACTGGTTATAATGATATCGTCTAAGTATATTAGTGTGGATTTCCCGAGGACAGGCTGTAGAATAATGTCCATAATGCTTTGAAAAGTTGATGCCTCTCCTCCAAGTCCAAATGGCGTACGAAAAAATGCAGAAGCACCTGATTTTTTAATAAACGCCATGTTATTGATGTCTTCTGATTTCATGGCTATTTGGAAGTAGCCTGAAGTAAGATCAAAAGTGGTCATGAATTTCGTAGAGCTAATTTTTTTAATAATTTTTTCAATTACCGGTAAAAGGTAGACCAGAAGTGTAGTGAGGCTCTTTAGTTTTCTATAATCAATAGCAAAACACCAGGAGTTTGGATTCGAGGGGGGCAAATTATGACAATGCATCAACTTGATGCTAACACACTACGCCTCACTCATGTGGTAACTAAAATAACAAGAACTAAACTAAAAATTCAAGGATATTAACAAGTAGAAATTCTTTACAGTGCTCAGAAACTCCTGTTACTTAAAACCATATCGAAAACTAGTGATAAAATGGTAAAAGCTGTTATGCCACATAAACCAGCAACAAGTACAGAAATAGAAGCTCATGCTACAGAGGTGAGAGCCATTATTTTTCTCCTCAAGATAGAATTTGAATTACTTTACGTACGCTATTATCAAATTTAAATGTTATGGCATTAACAATTAGGGGAATGAAGGCTTATAGGAAAGAAAGTAAAATTAATTAAATTGGCTATTTAAAATAAATATAATTCCCTACGCAGTT